AGCCATCGTAACTCTCATCCCAAATTCAGGCAAGGACTCATCCAAGAAGGAGAACTATAGATCCATTTCTTTGATGAACATCAATGCTAAAACTTCTCAAGAAAATTTTGGCCAATTGACCTCAACAACTCATCAAAGAAATCATACACCATTATCAAACAGGATTCACTTCAGGGATGCAAAGCTGGTTCAATAGATGCAAACCAATCAATATAATTCATCACATCAACAAGAACATGGATAAGAACCACATGATTAATTCAACAGATGCAGGAAAAGCATTTCACAAGGTCCAACATCCCTTTATGATGAAAGCTCTGGAAAAACTAGGAAGTCCATGGAACATTTCTCAATAAAATAAAGGCTGTGTATGACAAACCTACAGCCAGGATTACACTTAATGCAGAAAAGCTAAAGCCATTTCCTCTAAACTCAGAAATGAGACAAGGATGTCCACTCTCTCCAATTCTCTTCAATTTAGAATTAGAATGCCTAGCTAGAGCAATAAGACAAGATACAAACATAAAGGGGATCCAAATATGAAAAGATGGAGTAAAACTCTCCCTCTTTGCAGATGACATGGTCTTGTATTTAAAGAACACCATGGACTCCACTCCCAAGTTACTTGAGCGGATCAGAAAGTTTGGCAAAGTAGCAGAGTATAAAATTAACCCTCAAAAATCAATAGCTTTTCTGAATGCCAATACTGAGAAGATCACAACTGAAATCAGGAAAGCAATTCTTTTTGTAATAGCCCCACAAAAAATAAAATACCTAAGAGTTAAATAAAGAAGTGAAGGACCTCTATGATGAAAACTTTAAAAACCTGAAAAGAGAAATTAATGCAGAACTAAGGAAGTGGAAAAACCTCTCATGCTCCTGGATTGGGAAGAATAACATCGTGAAAATGGCAATACTGCCAAAGGCTATCTACAAATTCAATGTGATACCTATCAATATCCCAACCTCATTCTTCAACAGTGAAATAGAAGCAGCAATCCAAAAATTCATATGGAACAATAAAAGACCCTGAATAGCAAAAACAAGCCTTAAGAGAAAGAACAGTGCTGGAGGAATATCAATACCAAATTTCAAACTCTACTACAAAGCCATAGTAATCAAAACAGCTTGATACTGGCACAAGAACAAACCTGAGGACCATGGAATAGAACTGAAGACCCAGAAAGGAACCCACAGACCTATAGCTACCTAACCTTTGATAAGGAAGCTTAAAGAATAGAATGAAAGAAAGATAGCCTCTTCAGTAAACGGTGCTGGCAAAATTGGTTAAACAACTGTAGAAAACTAAAGCTAGATCCTTCTATATCACCCTGCACTTGAATCAACTCCAAATAGATCAAAGACCTCAAAATAAATGCAGACACATTACAGGAAGGAATAGGAGAAGCTCTAGGGCTCCTTGGCACAGGCTGAAATTTTCTTAATAAAGACCCAGAAATACAAAAAATCAAAGAAAGGTTGGACAAATGGGATTGCATGAAACTGCAGAGCTTCTGCATGGCAAAGGACACAGCTAGCAAGATCAATAGAAAGCCCACGGATGGGTTGAAGATCTGGGCCTCATATCTAAAATATATTTAGAACCCAAAAAATTAAATCCCTCAACAACAAATCCTTAAAGTGACAACTGTCCAATTCATAAGTGGACTAAAGACTTAAAGGGAGACTTCTCTGAAGAAGAAATAAGAATGGCCAAAAGACACATGAAGAAATGCTCAACTTCTCTAGCCATAAAAGAAACGCAAATCAAAACAACATTGAGATCCACCTCACCCATTTAGAACGGCTATAATCAACAGATGCTGGAGGGGATATGGCCAAAAGGGAATCCTACTGCATTGTTGGTAAGAGTATAAACTTGTTCAACCACTCTGGAAATCATTATGGAGGTTCCTCAAAAGACTCCACATAGTGCTCCCCTATGACCTAGCAATCCCACTGTTGGACATTTACCCAAACGATCACAAACAAGGCCATACTAAAGCTACCAGCACAATTATGTTTATCACAGCATTATTCACCATAGCTAAGATATGGAACCAACCCAGGTGCCCCTCAGTAGATGAATGGATCAAGAAAATGTGATATACATAATAGAATTCTATGCCTCCATCAGAAAGAATGACATCACTTCATTTGGTAGGAAATGGAAAGACCTGGAAAAAATTATGTTAAGTGAAGTAATCCAGGCCCAAAGAAACATAGATCCATGGTTTCACTTATCTGCAATAACTAGTATATGTCCAGGACAAGCAGAAAAGGCCAAAAGCTATGCACATATGACCATATAAGATGATGCTAAGCCAAATGAACTCCAAGATAGGGACACAAGAGGTTTTATCTTTCTTACTGTTGTTTTTAATGCACTGTGTGATATTTTTGGTTCTTTTGCATGTTTTCCCCCAGGGTATAACCCCTATTTTCACTGTATTGATCCTGGTACCCTGCATCTTGTATATACATTTTTCTATTTAGGGGAGGGGAAGGGAAACAACAAAATGCTGAAATAAGGATATAGGTTAACCCACTGTAACAATGATATGTACAAGACACTATGTTGAAAATGTACTTTACAGCTTCGGAGTGGGATGGAAGGAGAAGTTTGGGAAGTGGAGAAGGAAGGGATAGTAGGGGGAAAACAAAGGCGGAGGTAACAATGTTCGATAGGAAGTGCACTCAATACCTTACTCATGTAACTATAACCCCTTTGTACAGTATCTTTACAATAAAATATTTAAAAAAATATTTTTAAAAAACCTACAGCAAAAGTTTTTTTTTTGAGTCATTAATTTATTTTTTATGCCACCACAGTGGCTTCAACTCAGGGCTTTGCTCTCTTCCTTAGCTTTTTCATCTCAAGGCTGGTGCTCTCCTACTTGAGACATACCTCTGCTTCTGGCATTTTTTTTCTGGTTATCTGGACATAGAAGTTTCAGATTTATCTGTCCAGATTCACTTTGAAACCACGATTCTCAGATCTCAGCCTCCTGAGTAGCTAGGATTACAGGTGTGACCCACTAGCACCTAGTCATCTGTTTCCATTATTTTTTATATGCCAGTCCTGGAATTATTCTTACTTTAACTGTCACTTTACTCTCTTATCTGTTTGTTCCCTAGCTAACTATCCTCTACTATCATCTTGTCTGACATATTTACTTAGCACCTAATATGAAGATAACTATGGCACAGTTGTTAAGTCAGTATATTTGAAGCCTTAGAAGGTTTAAATCAAAAGCTGTGTAAGGTCTGGGTGCTGGTGGCTCATGCCTGAAATCCTAGCTATTTGGGAGGCTTACAATGGAAAAATCACAGTACGATGACAGCCTAGGCAGAATACCAATGGGCACAGTGATGCTGTCATTCCTAGCTATCTAGGAGGCTATAATTAGGAAGATCACAATTCCTGGCTAGCCCAGGTGAAATGGACACAGTGGGGCATGCTTGTCATCCCAGTGATGGAAGGACTAATCTAGGGTAGTTGTGGCTCTGATGAGCACTCTAGTGGTAAGTGAGTCCCATCTCAAAAACAACCAGAAAAAAACAGTAATCAAGTAATCAAGTAATCGATTGAGCACTGCCTAACAAATGAGATGCTTTAGTTCAAACCACAAAAATTCAAAAATCAGACAAACAAAGCAGTGTTAAGAATTTAACTTATCTAGCTGGGCACTAGTGACTCATGCCTGTAATCCTAGCTACTCAGGAGGCTGAGATCTGAGGATCACAGTTCAAAGCCAGCCCAGGCAATAAAGTCCGTGAGACTCTTATCTCCAATAAACCACTCAGAAAACTGGAAGTGGTGCTGTGGCTCAAGTGGTAGAGTGCTGGCCTTGAGCTGAATTGCTGAGGGATAGCATCCAGGCCCAGAGTTCAGACCCCATGACTGAGACACAGACACAGACACACACAAACACACACAGACACACACATAGACACAAATTTTTTTTTTTTTTTTTTTGGGGGGGGTCCGGTCGTGGGGCCTGAACTCTGGGCCTGGGTGCTGTCCCTCAGCTCTTCAGCTCAAGGCTAGCACTCTACCATTTGAGCCACAGTGCCACTTCCAGCTTTTTTCTTTTTGCTTATGTGGTGCTGAGGAATCGAACTCAGGGCCTCAGGCATGCAAGACAAGCGCTCTACCACTGAGCCACCTTCCCAGCCCCCAAATTTTTTAAAAAAGAGAATTTAACTTATCTGTATCTTTCTTATCTGTTAAGTATGTCTGGTCAACTATATTCCTCAGGGGTTAAATTAATTATGTAATACAAAAGCACAAAATCAATATCGTCACTGTCAAAGAGCCAGAGAAAACCCTGGCTGTTTCTCAGGCAAGTTTTCCATGTCAATTTTATGCCAAAATGTACTCCCTTCTTCTCCTACAGTACTCAGGTTCTGAGATATTTCTGTAACCCAATACCTATTCATCACTATGCTTCTGCTTATAATCATTTTAACTGTCCAGTAACAAAACAGTTGTAGCTCTGTTTGAATTCTGTGATTTGCCTGAATCTGTTGTAGTTGGGCTTCCTACATATATGACACAGGGCCTGTTCTGAGTGCCAAATGCTACAACTCTCTCAGAAACAAAACAGAATTAGTACAGTTTAACAGGAGTTAAGTTTTGGAATGAGACCATAGTTGGAACTGAAATATCAATGAATAGAAAAGCTATGTAACCTTCATAATGTTATACCACTTCTTTGTGCTTGTGTCCTCCTGTGAGTAGCAATGGTTACTCTTTCTCAGTATTGGGCACACTGTTAGGTAAAGTGTATAAATGATAGTGTTCAGTGCATAGGGAACTATCCACTCTGCTGGTGGATGGAGGAAATACCACAAGAGTCACCCATTAATGAGTAGGGGGGCCGCATGTCATGAGGTTTTTTGACTATAGATGTTCTGCTTCTACTATGCCATCTTTGTGCCTTTGCCGACAACAGCTAAGACTATTCACAGTAGATAAAGCCTGAAATAACACTTACCTTGAGCATACTGGCTACAAGATACAATCTCCTGGGGACTCAAGATTGGAGTCTGAGAATTATTGGTTAATATACGAATTCTTGCTTCAAGCATACCCATGGAGGCAAAAGAGTAGCAGCTTCCACAAGATCCTGTACATAAAAAAGAATAAATATATCCATATCTATACATTATATAATCCAACAGACATGTGATATGTCATGAATAATGCAAAACCTGGTTGAATGTGATACATTAATATTGTAGTGTCTAACACATCTGAATTGTTGTTTCTAAAGATACCGCATCTGAAATTCTGTTGAACTATTCATCTCTACAATATTCTAAGCCATCAGACCAAAAGAAAACTATACAATGCGTTCTAATTACTTCTAATGGAGTCATCCCTCCTAACCTCCAAATTCACATTTAAAGCCCAACCCTCAAAAGGGAGGCATGAGCTGGTGTGAATGGCTTTTGGGAGTTAACAAATCATAAGGGTAGAGTCACCATGAATGGGATTAGTGCACTTATTAAAAAAACTCCAGAGCTGGGAAGGTGGTTGGTAGAGTGCTTGCCTCTCATGCATGAAGACCTGGGTTTGATTCCTCAGCACCACATAAGCAGAAAAAGACAGAAGTGGTGCTATGGCTCAAGTGATAGAGTGCTAGCCTTGAACTAAAGAGCTGAGGGACAGTGCCCAGGCTCAGAGTTCAGGTACCATGATTGAAAAAAAAAAAAAGACTCCAGATCAGTATCCTATCTATTCTACTGTGTGGGGTTATAGTAAAAAGAACCCGTCTGAGAACTAAGAGGGGCATGACCAGAAAATGAACCTGGTGCCATCTTGATCTTGGATTTTCTAACCAATGTATTTGGAGCAATGACAAATAAATTCCTGTCACTTATGAGTTCCCCAGGGTGTTACATTTTGATACAGCAGCAGCCTAAGCAGAATAAGACAAGAAGTATCTTCCAAAGCACAGTCGGTGTATCTACCCTGTTGAACTTAACCTGAGTAGAGGAGACAAAACACAATAATGCCCAGGAAAGAGGAAGGACTGAGTATAACAAATAAATATGGTATTTAAGGTAGGTAACAGGAAGATGTGAGTCAGAGGAAGATGATAACAGCTAAATGAAAAAGGGAGAAGAGAAAAGAGAACCACCTTAATTCCTGAATGCTCTTCCAAGGACCAAAGACATTTCCTTAAGAAGCATCTTTTAGGAGTGCAGTTGCCATTTGAAGAAAAGAAAAAAATATGTTGTATTATAGTTTATATGAACAATTTTATTCTTCCATGTTTTTCTCCAAATTGTATGGGTAAAAATATTTTAAAAAAAAATCAGAAAACACTAAGAGATATGTAACAAAACTAGAATTTCCTTGCTACAGTTTTAGAAGGAAATACACATTATCTCTATTATTAGACACTCTCTTTCATCATGCTGAGATACACATTTTTCAAAGCCAAGATAAATTCACAATTACTATGCCACTCAATTTATTAATACATTATTTTACAAACTATTGGAATGGTAAGCACAACCTTATTAGGAGTGTAAAATAAGATTCATTAACAGTCAAATTATATAATTTAAGTAACTCGTGCATAAAGTTAAGTATCTTTAGTAAATCTGAAGTTGAGAATTTAGTAACTATCTTCGTGACAGAGAAAGTGCTCCAAAGTTTTGTAATTTCAAAATATTACCAGGGGTGTTTTTCTTTTTCCATCAGCAAAGAAAAGCTAGGACACTGGTCAATATCTAATACTCTAAACACTGTTCACAGTATTATCATCAGTGTCCTAAAAGTAAGTCACACATTTTCTTTAGCCTAGTACCTGGAACAGTACAGAGACTTAATGAGGGTTGGTAGGAAGAATGAGCCAAGGATGAACACGTAGATACATATTTATACTCAGAACATAAAACAACTTCCAAAGAAACCATCTTTACTAACTTAGCTACAGGAGAATGTAGAACCTAAGGACCTAGTATGATCCTACTTTAAAACAAAACAAAAAAATAAGAAGTGAATCTGGTCTATCTAGAGTTCTATAATAACCAAATTTCCACAATCTCAAAGAGATAACATAAAGGACACATTTGTGGAATAAAATCAGGATTCTATTCTTCCCTGTTCTCTGGTTCTGCCATTCATTAGTTGTGTCACTGCTGGCATTTTCATTTTAGTTTGTAAGACGGACTGGGTGGAGACAACATTTTAAGGTCCTTGCCTTTCTGTCCTAATAAATATCATTTAAAAACTAGACTTTAAGCAACAAGCAAAGACTATATTTCCTAATTAATGTGACCCCAGAGAGACATTCTTCCTTTCTCTTGAAGAGAATAAGTAAAAGACCTCATAGCAAGAGAATAAGAAGGCCCATTTTACTCAGTTTCATAGTTTTTCTTCTTTCTCAAAATAAATCTAGCAGGAAGGCTTATTCATAAAAGCTGGAATTTTTTTTGTTTGTTTGTTTTTCTATGCAAGTCCAGGGGCTTGAACAACTCAGAGCCTGGGCTCTGAGTCTGAACTTTTGTGCTCAAAGCTAACATCTGAACCATAGTTCAACATTAGCTTTTTGATGATTAAACAGAGATAAGAGTCCCACAGACTTTCCTCTTCTTATTGGATTCAAACCAAGATTCTTGCTGTTCTTACATGCAAACGTACAACCTCATTTGTCTTCCCAATATTTTTTTCCTCTTAAAACTCAATTTTCTGTCTGAACACAGAAAAGTGGTAAAATCACTTAAGAGTTGTAATTCTGGAGATCTTGGTTCTATAGACCACTGGTGCTAACTTTTAAAATTAGCAGAAATTTCCAAGTTTCTTTCTAATCTATAGTACACACACACACACACACACACACAAACACATGGTAGTAAGAGGGGAAAAAAAACACTTAATCAGAGCTTTCTGCTTTGAAATTGCCATTTATCTATACAAATTGAATTTATAGCTTTCAAAGAATAGGGAGTATTGGAGACAAGAATAGCCAATGTCCAAGAATTAGGCTTTTGAAACACTAATTTCTTTCCCCAAAATTATTACCACATATCAACTGTCAGTCATTTTGGGGGAGAAGAGAGCAGAAATAAACCTTACATTCCTTGCCCTAAGGAATTTCAAAGTACTTCATGAAAGCTGATTTAGTACCTACCATCAGGTATCTCTTTTTTGGGGGGGACGTGGGGGTCATGAGGCTTGAACTCTGGGCCTGGGCACTGTCCTGAACTCTTTAGCTCAAGGTGAGTGCTCTATTACTTGAGCCACAGCGCCACTTCCTCAGATATCTTATATAAAGTAGATTAAAAGGTCCTTATACTGCTTTAGGAATTTACTAGAATAAAAATCTAATGATTTGAGTTCCAGAGTATAATGGCAGGTTAAAAGCTTCTACAGTATGACTCTGGGAATAGAAGATCCATAAGACTGAAGTTCAAGGGAGAATCTTCTAGTCTTTGTCCACTGCACAAAACAGCAAGCAGAGGAAGCTCAGAGCCCTCTGTTCAAACCCTAGTATTGCAGATAGATAGATAGATAGATAGATAGCACCATAGAATGAGTTTAATAGCCATCTACCAAAACTTCCATCCAAGAGCTACAGAATACATATTCCCAGTGGACTGTGGCTATTTCTCAAAAAAAAAAAAAAACATACTAAAGCAAGTTGCAAAAAAAAAAAGTAAAATAATTTCTGTTATATGGTTTTTAGAATATGAAAATTCAGTAGAAAAAGAGATTATAGAAACTACATAATTGAATAATAATATGGTTTTAAATTATCAATGTACATCATTAAAGAGATTATATCTGAAATTTAAAATTTCCTAGATACAAATGAAAACATAAATTATCAGAATCTTTGGGATACAACTAAGGCAGTTCTAAGAAAAAAATCAAGAAAAAAGTAGAGGAAATAAATTTGACTTATCATTTGGCTATTTTTAGCTACTTGGAACGCTTATTGAGAAGAACACCGAAGCAATGCTTCCCACTAGAAAATCCATCCTGAATGCAAACAGGAGTAAGAACCCAGAGGCCACATACTTTTCATTTCTTTCTTTTCTGTACATCTTTCCTAAAGTAGATCTATCTTGTATCTATACACTTTAAACCATTCCAGAGTCTTGAATGTGTAACAAATGTGTAAATAGTTCTGAGTATGTTAATAAAAATTTGTGACTTTTTTTTTTCTTTTTCCTTTTCCTTTTTTTCTTTACCTTGGTTTCGAACAGGGCTAACAAAATTGACACCATGAACATTTCTCCAGTCCCAAGATTCAGGCAAATGTGAAACCTTCTCTTGTATTTCAGCAGTCAATGGTGCAGGTTTGGGCCTAGGATGGAAACATATATGTAACATCAACATGTAGTCTATCCTTTGAGGATTGTTTTCTAACCCCTCCTTTCATGAATTAAATAACAAATCTAACTAGGATCTAGATTCATACCAAAGAGCACTTACATTTCAGGGTATCATTATACAATGTGCCAAATTTGATTGTGTGAACTCTTCCTATCATCAAATAATCTACATGATTCTTTAATATACTAACTAGTAAACACACTACAATTAGTTATATATTCAATCTTTTATTTTAGAACATTTATCTCAGTTGTCAATATTCTATCATCAGTATAAATGTGTTTCAATGAATATCATTAGACACAGGAACTTAATATAATTCAAAGCCTGTATCTCAGTCATAAGCAACTTGCTAGCTGGGTGCCATTCAGCAAAGAATTTTATTTCTATTAAAATGGGCACAATCATACTTACTTCAAAGGGTAGTTGTACATATTCAGTGTGATGATGATGTTGATGTTGATGATGTAATACTGGCTAACAAGTTCCTGTCTCCAAGTCCTGAATAAATGGCAGCTCATGATAACTACCACTATCATAAATTCTATATAAAATGTTGTGGTAATCTACATAAGTAGTAATCTGGTACAATACAGGCATTTAAATACTAACTTTCATCTTTCTACCACCCTTTAAGGTAGAATATTTCACCACCAATACTCACAGACTAAAAAGAAAAATAAAATCAGTATCAATAGAAAGAGTCAAAGTTTAGTAATATTCAAGTGAAGAAATAGAAAATGGAGTTGGAGGGACACCAAAGTAGAAATTAAATATTTTAAAGATATTACACATTAATGTTTTGAGTCTAGATTCGTGCATGCGTGCGTAAGTAAGAGTGTCATGGACTTTCTTGTCAGGGCTGCCTTCAAACATGATACTCAGATTTCAGCTTCTTGAGTATCTAGGATTACAGACATGAGTCACCAGGGCCAGCTGGACTCATAGACTTTAGAGACTATGGAAAAAAATTCCGGACTCAAGAGAGATGTGATTCAAGCAGTTTTAGACTCCATAAACCTTACATTAGGCTTCTATTACATCACTGAATTTTTACAACAGAGCTAATTTATATATAAAAACGCTACAGGAAATCTAGTAGCTTCAGCATTTCCTCCTTCATTTGACTCTCTCTCTTTATCTTAAACTTTCTAGTACTTTAGTAGGAAAAGCAGCTCTTTGTAAAGTTAGCCATTCTTGGACACATCCAATTGTCTAAGCACAGCAAGTTCCTCAGAAATCCTGCACATGACACGTGGCAAAGTCTGAGGCTTAAGTCTTTTGGACAATCTAACAGCATCTCTCTACCTCACCTCCTGCCCCTCCCACATGCTCCTTCCCAGGACTCTTTAGCAGTCCTCAACTTCCTATCTCACGAACACACACTAGATATTCACTTAAGTGAATCTAATAAGGAGATAATGTTAAGCTTACTTACCCAATTTTGATTTTAAAAAACAAACACAAAAAAACTCTTAGAATACACTTTGAGCACTACTCTGGAAGATTCTTTTGAAAAAGGGGCAAAGTTATGAGAGGATGTTGCCATGCAACAGGCACTCAGAAACAGACTTCCCTAAAAAGCACTGACTACTCACTACTCATACAGGCCCTCAAGGGAATGAAAATCAGGATAAAATCCTAGCACCTCTGCATTCATTTTGCATCTGTCTCCTCTGCCTTTAAGCTTCAGGTAAGACTCCTGCTTTCCTCCGCACATAGATATTTTCCAAAAACCAGTGATATCTAAGCTATCTCAATACTGCTCAAGCCTGATGGCTCCAAGATAAGAGTAGCAAAGGTGTGTTACTGTCAGCCTGTCGAATGTCTTGTCCTAGATCTCTCCAAAGGTGCCTGAAAGTCTCCAGTCATTGGGCTAAACCTACAGTCACTTTGGAATCCAAAATGATAGAGCCTCATAGACAGATGGCTCCATGATTAGATTACCCTCAAGTAGGAGCCATCCTTTCATGGGAACAAGATTGCCTTCACAAATAATAAAGACCTCTCCAGAGCCACCTTGAAGAACTAGAACTGAAATAATGATTACCTATACCCTACCTGGACTAACACTGATAATTAAGGACACAGACCTCTTGTACCTGCCTCATTCTTCTCTACAGTACCTACAGCTCATGTCAGCACTTACTGAATCCATTTATCTGTTCTTTCCGATATGGCCAACAACCACTAAAGATCCTTTTTCTGCCCTCCACCATTACGTGTCACTCTGACATATTGGAAAGGGTGACTGAGGCAGAATTTTCCCCCCTAAATTCCAATGAAAACATTCCATATAGTTACCTAATTGAAAAATGCACTGCCTTAAGAATTTCAGCCTTCAAATGAAAAGGTTAGTGATGCATCATCGTTACTTAAGTAATAAAAAATTTGAACCACTGATTTTGTAGGTAATTAATCATTATATTCTGTGAGAATTGAATAATACGTCAATGTACTAAAAGAAAATAATCTACCTACATAATTGACTAATTCCCATAAGCTCCCCATTGGTTTCAAGTTCTTTTTCCTTGAATCAAATTATCAATTTCTCCTGAAGAAGCCTCCCAGGGAGATCCTTGGCCCCATGTTAAATGACAGGGACCACAAATGCTTTGTAAATCCTGATACAGTTTTGAAATGAGATGTTAAAAGATTATATAAATCCCTGGCTGGATAAACTGAAAGTGCTATAACTTAATTTCCTGAAGGTGGGAAATGGAGGTATAATGATAAATAAGGATTTTCTTTAAATGTTTCACTGAGATCTTCAGATTAATATAGGTGGTTAATTTGTGAGTAATTATTGACAAGTTGGAGGTCATGTGATGGAGGAGAGGCATAAATTAAGGTAAAATGAAAAGAAACTTTTTCAAGAATTCTGTGACTTCCCCTCAATGGATGAAAAGATCATGAAAATGTGGTAAAAATACACAATGATATTTTACCCATCCATTTCAAAGAATGATTCTGTACTGTAGGTAAAGAAATAGAAAGACCTGGAAAAATTATGTGAAGTGAAGTAAGTCAGGCCCAGGGAAACAAATGATGCATGATTTTCCTTATATGTAGAAGTTAGACTTAGATTACAAACTTTTAAGTAAATTTGTTGGGTGGCATACAAGTGTTCACAAATGTATTAACTGAAATATGGCAGATTTAAGGGTAAGTTCAAAAAGTATAATGCTTAGAAAGGCAAAATCAAAGTTCAACAAAATAAATACCAGGAAGTGGAAGTGGGTAATAGGGGGAGGCAAGATTAAGGGGGAAAAGGTAGAGGAATGAAGAGGGAAGAATGTTGTCACTAATTCAATGTATGTCTTACAAAATTAAGAAGAATGAGGGAAGAGGTAGGAAAGAGAAGGACAGGAGAAAATTTTGAAAGGGCACTGATCAAGATGCATTGTATTCAGAAACTGATTTGTTAAACGGCAATTTCTTTCTACAAATAGTTAAAGACTGAAAAAAAAAGAACTACAGGGAGGCTTAGGAGAAACTCTAGAGCTCCTGGGCACAGATCAAAACTTCTTAAAAAAAGATCTAGAAACACAACAAACCAAAGAAAGACTTGGTAAGTGGGACTGAATCAACCCCAAAAGTTTCTGCACAGCAAAGAATACAGCTACCAAGCTAAAAGAAAGGCCACAGAATGGAAGAAGATTTTTTACTAGACAAGGGCCTAGTATCCAGAATATACTTAGAGCTCAAAAAATTAAGCCCTCAAAGAAAAAACCACCTCATTAATAAATGGACTAAGGACTTAAAGAGAGTTTTCTCAGAAGAAGAAATAAAAATGGCCAATAGACACAGAAAGAGATGCTCAACATCTCTGGCCACAAAGGAAATGCAAATCAAAATAACACTGTGATTTTACCTTATCCCAGTAAGAATGGCCATTATAAAAAAAAGAAACAATAACAAATGCTGGTGAGGATAAGGCCAACAGGGAACTCCTTTACACACTGTTCAACCACTCTGGAAAGCAGTATGGAGGTTTCTCAAAACACTAAACATAGAACTATGCTGTGATCTAGCAATCCCACTGCTGGGCATCTATCTAACAGAACATAAACAAATCTACAGCAAAACCACCAGCACAATCATGTTCGTTACAGCACTATTCACCATAACCAATGGACAAATGGATTAAAAAATGTGACATATTTGTGTATATGTATATATATGAACATATATATATATATATATATGTGCATTTTACCATCCATTACAAAGAATGATATAGAACCATTCATAAGGAAATGGAAAGACTTGGAAAGATTTACATTAAGTGAGGTAAGCCAGACCCAGAAAAACAAAGATTGCACAGTTTCTCTCATCAGAGGTAGATAGAATGTGCCTATAAATCTGTTACGTAAACACCCTGGGTGATATACAAGCAGTTACAAATGAATTAAATGAATTAAAACAGATGCGATGGAGAGCTTAAATAGTATAATTTTTTAGAAAGACTAAGTCAAAGCCCAACAAAATTAGCACCAAGAAATGGGCACAAGCAAGGGGAAGGGCTGGGGCCAATGGAAAAGGAGTAGACAATGAAGCGGGGAGGGGGAAATGAGTCAAGAATTCATGGTATATACCACAAAATTGAGACATGTAAAAGAAGGGGTGGGTCAAAGGGGGAAAGGGGATGACAGATCAAGATGCATTGTATTCATATACTGCTTGATTAAGTGACACCTCTTAAAGAAAATAATACCTACTTAAAGATAACAAAAAATAATAAGAGAAACATTATAGAAAATTAAAATTAAAAAAGAAATTTATACATGGACAAAAAGCATGTGTGTCATATTGTCTGAAAGCAGGTCAAGGCCATAAATACAATAATGGCCTTAATTAGATTGCTTGGGATACCAGGATGAATTTTTTCCCCTAGAGAGCTGGTGCAGGAAAAGAAATTGTAAGTATTCCAAAGAATGTCAAAAATGATGACAAGAAGCAGAAGACACAGGAAGAAAGAGCTAGGAGGCAAGAGGCTCCTAGCTCTCATTCATGCAAAAGAGAGACTATGAAATCCTAATCCAGAAAATGGAAGGGGAACAAAATAAACATCAGACAGTATGAAAGCAAACATCCAATACTGGACTTAAAAAACAAATGAATGAATGTATGAATACAAACAGAAGATGAAAAAAAGACAACATAAGGAGTGTAAATTGGAAATCACACATGGCAGTAACACATCTACATCTTGTACTTAGGAAGCCATGGCAGGAAGATCTGGAGTTCAAGGGAAGCGTGAGCTGTGTATAAACATTGTCTAAAACAAAACTAAACCAAGGCTAAATCTGGCAATAATGATGGGTGATGCAGGGGTTAGCTGGAAGAAAGATTGGCACTCAAAATCATTTTTTGTAGTAATAAACAGATATATTCTATTACCTTGGAATTCTGTGATTGTGGCCACCACTTCTCCTAATCAGATCTCTCAGGCTCAGAGTCTCATATTCCATGTATGCTGTTGCAGTCCACGACTTCTGAATGGCATTGATAGTTTCCACGAAGTTGTGGTTGTATTTGTAGAGCCTATTAAAATAACTGCCAGCAATATGAGATAATATTAGATATAGTATCGCCTGATAAAAATAGATTCTATTAAAATAGACCCTCATGCTCTGTATCCAAGGAGAAGTTGCAAAAGTCTTTCAGGGATACAACTGGTCATGTGTATGAAGAGCTTAAATTGTAATGTCTCCTGTTCATGTGTCTAACAATATTCAGTAAAATACTTTTATACCAGTGATAGGATATAGACTACTTAAATAAATGTTCTAAAGTAAGGGACTAATTAAATCAATAATGGTGGTTTCTTTCCTAGACAGTTTGTGTGTGTGTGTGTGTGTGTGTGTGTGTGTGCGCGAGCGCACGCACGCACACATGCACACACATGCGCTGATGGGTGCTTGAATTCAGAGCCTCTCTAACTTACTGGGCTTTTTCCACTCAAGGGTGGCACTCTACTGCTGGAGCCACAACTCTACTTTCAGTTTTCTGCTGGTTAATTGGAGATAAGAGTCTCATACACTCTTATGCCCAGGCTGGCTTTGAACTGTGATCCTCTGATCTCAGCCTCTCGATTAGCTAAGATTACAGGCATGTCCCACCTAGTGCTCAGCTATAATATTTTCAAGATGCTACCAATGTTCCTTCCTGCTAACTGAAAAATATAAAGCAGAGGCTCCTTTATTAAATTAATTAATCATTAATTCTTTAAAAACAGAAAAAAAATTTAAATTGTAGTGAAATACTTTAGACTTTTTTCTATTGAGGAGAGACACTTTGTCACTGATTGCAACTATTTGAGAAGCATAGCTTGCTCTACTTGTCTGGCTTAATCCTTACATCAAGAAAAACTGCATATGCTGATATGTGCATTACCATAAAGACAAGATGCCATCATAGGTCTTAGACACTATTATTTTTGGTGTTTTAAGATTGCAGGAGATTAAAAAATAATGTACTTTACTGTAGAATAACATCATTACAAGCTGAAAGAAATCTTGAAGGCAATTTAGGCCTAAATACTCATTTTATGGTGATGCAACATATAGAAGCTTCTTCACTAAATGAGATAATATTTTTGAAATGCAAATAAGGCCTCTTAGTATTATCTCATCCCAAATAGTAAGGTGAACCATGAAGAGCTTAGCATAAAACTTGCTGCTAAAGCAAGAAAACAAACAAAGCTACTTAGAGATCAACTCAAAATGGAGTACTTAGAGTTAAAACAGGATTAATCCTTTAGACTTGTCTCCTTTACTTCTTGTCTGCAGTGACTCATTGACTGTGTTTCTTGGACTTTCCATGATTTCCCCAAATAAGTAACACAGAAAAGGTAAAGAGAGTTGTTTGTATGAGATCCTTACAATAGACTGTTTGGGGCTGAATTTTGTTAGCACAAAATTTGTACTGGTAGCCCACACTTATAATCCAAGCTATTCAGGAAGCATAGATCTAGAGATTGAGGTTTAAAGCCAGCCAGGGTAGGAAAGTCCATGAAACTTTTGTCTCCAATTAGCCACTAGAAAGGTAAAAGTGGAAGGTGGTTCAAGTGGCAGAGCTCCATTCTTGAACTGGAACAAAAAGAGCTAAGGGACAGTGTTCCAGCCCTAGTTCTCTGTCTCTGTCTGTCTGTCTGTCTCTCTCTCTTTCTTTCTCTTTTCTCTTTCTCTTTATCTCTCTCTCTTTCTCTTTATCTCCCTTTCTCTCTCTCTCTCTCACACACACACATGCACACACACACACACACACACACAATTTGTGCACTGAAATCATAACCCACAGTCTTTCAACACCCTATGTTAAGGTAGGACAGTTTCAAGCTAATTATGTTAAATTAGAGTTGTCATCACTGGTGTCCTCAGAGACTAGTGCAGGACCCAGTCAAAGAAGGATAAGTGAGAACACCTGGTAAGGTAAAGCTAGTCAGTTACAAAAGAAGGTAAAGCTTCAGGAGAAACCTGATACCACTTTCATCATGGACTTGGATCCTCACCTGTCCATGGAACTGTACTATCACAACCAGAGTAAACTGGGTACACAGATGTGGAAAATCTTGATTTCACTAACTTATTATCTTGTTTCAAATGTGTTCAGTTTGTATTCCTTGCACTTCCACACACTATTATACAACTGCCCAATAAAATGATTTTATTGACTACTAATTTGTAATTCTGTAGTATTATATACAATGCATTTTTGTGTGTGTCAGTAATAGGACTTCAACTCAGGGCCTCCCACTCTTGTTTGGCTTTTTTGCTCAAGGCTATTACTCTATTATTTGATCCACAGCTCTACTTCTAGCTTTCTGCTGGTTAATTGGAGATGACAATTTCATGAACTTTTATGTCCAAGCTAAGTTTCTAAACACAATCCTCAGATCTCAGTCTTCCAAATAGATAGCATTACAGGCATGAGCCACCAGTGTCTAGCTCATATAATGGATTTTTTTAAAGCTATCATTAGTTCATTAGTTTTCAAATTTTTTTAAGGGGGAAATTGCTTTCTCTATTAATTCTATCAGTTGATTTTTTTTTATTCAGTGAAGTTTATATAACCATAGCTTACATTTCTAAGCCAACTAAATTGTATGGAATTAAAATACATTTTCAAGATTAAGTATGCATATATACTCACACATCCCATAAAACAAAAATAAAAACAAAATATAGGGGGTTCACTTGAAACTCACTTTTCCTGAGGCCTTGAAAAGTGGGCCATATTCATGTTCACATTCTTAGATGTGCTTTCTACTTTCTTCCCAGTGAAACAGGCCCAATTCCGGCCCAGGACATCATGCACCCATCCGACCATTGTTTCATGGCAATAACTGGTCACCTTTTTGCCCTTGACTTCATACTGCAATCAAAGAAGAAACAGAAATTGAAACACAAATTCAGTCTATGTTTGGCACTCAGATCTGATTCTCATTTACCATAAAGATACCTTTTATTATCCTTTGGCAATCAAACAAAAACTTTACCCAGGAAGTTTACATTTTGAGAATTATTCCTGAAAACAAAAAGAATCAGACTTTTCTATGGTTACAATCATAAGCCACTGAAGACAATGTACAGAACCAAACACTTGTGGAAAGAAAAGGAACAAGCTCAGATTTTTAGAACATGAGCCATATGCAAGGCATTTTACAAAAGTTACTTCATTTAATTCTCATATTGTAAAGAATTAACAATAACACATTTACCAAATAGATGTTAGTCTCAGAGAGAGTAAATGACTCCCAAAGCCACAGAGCTGCTAGGTCAGAAAGATACTTCCCCTCAGTCAGTCTGATGACACATTTCCACTCAGGAAAAGCTCACATCATGAAACCTGAAGAAAAATGGCAAACATTTTTTTCATAACTACACGAAGTCCTCTTTTTCTGTCAGTATTATGATTTATTAGGGTATAATAATTAAGTGTGGTCTAAGATCAAGATTGTCTCTATTTCACTACTACAGCATTTTGCATATTTAAATGGTAACACTAAAAATTTTGTATGAAATCACAGACCCAGGATTAGAACTCAGACACATTCTGGTTCTTGTGTAACCTGTCTTCTCATTAAGGAGTGGCACATAACCAGGAATGATAGCAGAGAGGATGGCAGGCAGAAAGAAAAGAAATGACATATGCGCGTTAGTGAAGATTTTTAGAATGGCTAGACAGCAAATACTGTTTAGGCTCTTCAAGACATCAATATGTCTGACATCAATTCGACAAAAACAGTGAGTTGGCTTTGGCTCTGAGGGCTACTCACAGTGGACCACGATCTAATCTAGTAGATGTTAATTTTCCTGTTTACAGACCTTGGCAAGCTTATTATTACAATTTTTTAAATGGGCCACACAGCTAACATTTAAGTCTTGCAGACAGGAAGGTATGTCTCAACTACTCAGCTATGCCACTGCAATTTAGAAAGTACACAGAGAATATATATGTGAATGAGGTAGGTCAGATGCTAATAATACTTTTTTGCAAAACAGTCCCATCCTTTGCCAACTTCTAGTTTAGAAAATGTGCCAGCAACAATGACCTGTAGAATCTCATCAGACATGTTTCACCACAGTAAGCTGATACTCTGTGTGTACCACATTGCTAGGTAATGGTGTTAGGTTTGAGGTATTAAATGCATTTCCATGTGATTATTCTCAATTTACAAATATTCTTGCCAGGATGTATCATAAGTCTGGGGATATCTATAACGAGTTATGTAAAACGTCTATGTTGTAGATCAGAAATGGGTACATATTGGTAATCTTAAGCAATGCAAGCTAAAATCCCTAAATTTCAATAATGTCTTTCTCTTTGGTATTGGGTTCTATTCACCTGCTCTTCTGCTGTACATTGGTAAGATGGGTTAGGTAAGGACAGACCAAAGTTTCCTCACCCTTACTGTTATATGGAACATGGTGTGACAATGTTTTAAAAGTTAAGATTTATTTTATGAAAATCATTTCTCTCACACAGATACACACAAAAATATATCTACAGGAAGATACAACACAATTATTATTACAGGTAGGTAAATTCTATTAAACAAAAAGTAATTTCATAACATTTGCATTCTTATTACATTCTAGAGGAAAAGGGTAAGCAAACTATGTCTAGAGAGAACTGCTTGTTTCTGTACCTATAGTTTATTGTAGTAGTTTAACAGTTTCACATCTTCCATTCACAGCTGAATTGGTGTTAATATAGGCCAAGAGACCCAGATCTAGTTTTAGTCTTGTACATATGGATGGGTATCCAGTTCCTAGCACCATTTGTTGAAGGGACTATCTGTTCTCCAATGTATGTTTTGGCACCTTTCTTTTTTTTTTGAGGGCGAGGGTCCGGTTGTGGGGCCTGAACTCTGGGCCTGGGCACTGTCCCTCAGCTCTTCAGCTCAAGGCTAGTGCTCTAACACTTGAGCCACAGCGCCACTTCTGGCTTTTTTTCTTATGTGGTGCTGAGGAATTGAACCCAGGGCCTCAAGCATGCAAGGCAAGCACTCTACCACTGAGCCACCTTCCCAGCCCTTGGCACCTTTCTTAAATACCAACCGTCTATAGATTTTTGTAGATTCATTTCTGGATCTTTGGTTCTTTCCATTAACAATTAGTATTGCTCTCTTTGTCCAAGATTGCTTCAGTTATTTTGGGTCTCCTTTACTTCCATATAAACTTTAGAAATGATTTTTCTACCTTTGTGAAGAATGTCATTGGAATTTTTGAGAGGATTACACTGGAGATATATAAGATTTTGGTAGTATGGTCTTTTCACAAAATTGATTCTGCTAATCCATGATCATTTGTAGTCTTTTCATCTTCTGGTATCTTTTGCAATTTCGTTCTTCAGTGATTCATTTGCTATACATCTTTCACTTCCTTAGTTAAATTAATTCCTTAGTTACATTAATTTCTTAAGCTAATTCCTTAAATACATTTTGGTTTTTGAGGCTATGGTAAATGTGATTGTTTTCCTGATTCCTTTCCCAGTCTATACACTGCTGTTAGGTAGAAAAGTTACTTTGTATATTAATGTTCTATTCTAATTTTCCAAAAATACTTATCAGATCTAGGAGTTTTCTGATGACTTTTTAGCATCCAAGTATAGAATAATAACATCTGGAAATGGGGCTAATTTTACTTCTTCATTGACTATTTTAATCCCTTTTATTCTATCCTCTCAACTTATTCCTCTATAATGAAGAAGAAAGGAGAGTGGAATCTTTATCTCATTCCTGATTTAAGAGAAAATAATCTTCACTTTTCTCTACTTAGTAGAATTTTGACTATAAGTTTGGCATATATAGCTTTTATTATGTTGAGGTATGTTCTTTCTATTCCTAGTTTCTCTGAAGCTTTTATTATGAAGAATATTGAGTTTTACCAAAGGTTTTATCCTGCATGTATTGAGATGATTGTGGGATTTTTGCCATTTTCTCTTTTTATGTTGTATTACATTAATTCATTTGCATATGTTGAACCATCCTGTACACTTGAACACAAAGCCCACTCAAGCACAGTATATGATCTTTTTAAAAGTGTCACTGGGTTCAGTTTGTAAATATTGTGTGGAAAATTTTTGCATCAGTGTTCATCAAGGAAATTGGCCTATAACAATTTTTTCCAAGTCTTTCCATGTCTTTACAAATGTTATAATATCATTCTTCCTAATGATTGAGCAAAATTCCATTGTGTATATATACCACATTTTCTTGACCCATTTGTCCACTGAGGGATGTATAGGATGATTCCATACTTTGGGTATGGCAAATAGTGCTGCAATAAACATGCTTGTGATGGTGGCTTTACTGTATCTTGGTTTATAATCTCTTGAGTAAATGCCTAAGAGTGGACATGCTGGATGATGGAGTAGTTCCCATTTTTTGAGGATTCTCTACTCTGCTCCAGAGACAAAGGACTCATGCTTTCCCACACATGTGGAAGCTAGATTTAGCTTACAACCTAAGTATGTATGTTGGGTGGTATGAAGTGATTACAAATGTATTAACTGAAATATGGTAGATCTCAAATTGTATAATGCCTTAGAAAACCAAAACCAAAGCTCAACAAAATTATGCCAGGAATCTGGTACTTGAAAGGGGTGGAGTGGGTCAAGTGGAAAGGGGTGGATGAATGAAGGGAAGAAGGGGAAAATGGAGATAAGAACCAAGTCTATATACTACAAATATTTGGTGGCATTTTCCTAATAAAAGTAAACATATTTATTTCAGGTGAAAACTCCATAAAAAATTTCAATCTGCCTATAAAATGTAAATCAAGAATTTCAGTTGTGAAGCTTGAAATCAGGGCCTGGGTGCTGTCCTGGAGCCTTCTTGTGCTCAAGACTAGTGTTCTACCCGTTGATCTACTTCTGGCTTTTGAGTGGTTAATTGGAGATAAGCGTTTCACGGGGACTTTTCTGCCCAGGCTGGCTTCAAACTGTGACTCTCAGATCTCAGCTTCCTGTATAGCTAGAATTATAGGTATAAGCCACAGGTGCCTGGCTAATCAAGGTTTTATGTTGTTGTTTTTTTTAAGACAAATTTTATACTGTTATTACTAGGAGAAAACATACAAGTTACATTTTTCTAAGTTTTTAAATAAAATTTACCTACATTAAAAGAAAAAAAAGGAAATTGATCTATAAGTTTCCTTTTTTTCCTGTTGTGTCTTTACCCAGCTTTGTCTAATAAGGGTAATACTGGCATCACTGAATTAAATTTGGTACTTTCCCTTTCCTTTGTATTTCTTGGAATAGTTTGAGGAGCAGTAGTTTTAATTCTTTAAAACTCTGGCAGAATTCAGCAATAAATCCACCTACTTCCACTCCTGGGCTTTATTTTGTTGTGAGATTATTACTGACTTGATATTATTACTCATTTTAGATATGCTTTAGTTATTTGTATCTTTTTTATTTAAAGAATCTAGCCACTTCATCTTGACTTTCTAATTTTTTGGAGTAATATAACAGGCTCTGTTGGAGGCCTTCCTATCAGGGAAGGGTAGAGGGTGAATGTATAAGTTGAAGAAGGGTGAATATGGCCACAGTACTTTATATGAGTATGAAAGTACAACAGTGAAACCTGTTGAAATTTTTTTAGGGGAGGATGAGGGAGAACGACAGGAAACATGAATTTCATCAGGAGTCACTGCATATGCAGGTATGAAAATATCACAATGAATGCTCCTTAAGAGACAAAAGATGCTATTGCTGAGCCTATGAATTAGCTGAAAACTGGAATCCAACCCCCAGACTTTGCATCCAAGTTCTTTGAACTGAGTCATTCCTTGCTGCAGTCATTTTATAATCACCATGTACTCCAGGAAAGATAGGCTTCACTGGTAAGTACTTGTGACAAAAGGCAA